CAAATGACTACAAACCGGTGCTTTAAAACAACAGGAATGTGTCCTCTCCCAGTTCCAGAGGCAGAAGTGTGAGGTGCAGGTGTGGCAGGGCCGTGCTCCCTCCAGAGGCCCCAGGGGAGTATCCTTCCTGCCTCTTCCAGTCCCTGGTGGCTCCAGGCGTCCCTGGGCTTGTGGCCGCACCACTCCATTCTCTGCCTCCGTCTTCACATGGCTTCTCCTCTGTGTCTGTGTGTCCTCTTCTGTCTCTTGTGAGGACACCTGTCATTGGATCAGAGCCCACCCTACTCCACTGGAACCTCATCTTAACTAAATCCATCTGCAGAGACCCTATGTCCAAATAACGTTCCACTCTGAGGTTCTGGGAGGACATGGGTTTTGGGGAACACTATCCACCCACCACGGTGGTGCTGCTGGTGGGCTTCAGATTGGGAGTGAGAGAAGTTATGCAGACTCATGATCTGAGGGATGGAGAGAAGGAAGAGGGGCTGGAGGCAGAAAGGGGCTTCTGGGGCGTGCTCATTTCTCATGCCTGGTGACCTTCCGGACAGGGGTGTTGGGTATGTGAGTCTGATTTTGGAAGCAGCCTCTGGGCTGCGGCTGTGAAGCCGGGAATCATCGGCACATGGAGAGTGTAAAGTCATGACACTGTGAGATCATCATCCCAGGTGCAGATGGAGGACACGGGGCAGGAGGATGGAGCCCGGAACCCCATGGGCTAGTCTGGGAGGGGGACTTGTTGGACGGAGGCTGAGGAGGGGTCTTGAGGTGGGAGAGACGAGGAGCACGTGGGGCGCAGCTGAGAGCGGCTCTGGCAGGAGGGTGCTCGTGCCTGCGTGTGGCTGCGAGTCATGCGGGGGTGGGGCGCGAGGGCCAAGGTTCAGCAGCGGAGACCACCAGGGCGCTGGGGGCACAAGGGCCACGTGGATCCACGGGGGGCTCAGCTCTCGGTGTGTTTTGGGGAGTCAAGTGTTTCCGAGTCCTCAGCCCAGGGACGGCGACCAGCCCTGCTGCAGCTGAGCGCGTCCTCCGGTTTCTGTCGAGGCCACCGTTCCGGCCTCCTCGGGCCCAGTGTAGCGGCCTCTTTCCTCCCTGTGTTCAAACTTCCTTTGAGGACTTAAAAGCACCTCTTTGCCCGCTGCCCTCCTTGCCCTCTTGGTTTGAGGATGGACAGAAAAGGGAGTGTTGGCCAAAAAATGGGGTAGACCACGGGACCTTCAGTGTGGCCACTGTGACAGTGGAGTCCCCAAGCAGCCGTGTGCGTCCTTCCCCCTGAAACGCATTCTCTCAGCTTCAGGGAGTTAGACAGTGTCCGGTGGTCCGGGCAGGTGTTTGTGGCTCCATTAACCCACCCACGGGAGCGAGTGTGTAAGTGGCGTGTGTGTCCCACACATATGTAACCAGGGAGTTTGTGAAAACGTCCACACCCACAGTCAGCCCAAATAGGCCTCAGAGGCAGGCAGCTCCTGGCCCCAGTGACCACCTAGACACCCGGGTGCCCAATTGGGATGACCAGACAGCATTTCCCAATGTGGGGTCCCAAGACAGAACTGTGAGATACTGCAGAGCCAAACACTCAGAAAGCTGCGCCATCCTGGGCAGAAACGCATGCCGGGTGGGGCTGGTCTAACTTGAGCCACAGGTCGCAAGACACTCCAAAGGCTGTTTCAGGGAGTGGGCCCTGAGTTCACTATGCCCGCTGCTCTGGGGTCCCCACCGCAAGCCTCAGGCCCTGCTTCCTTTCCTTTGAATCCCACCGCAGCCCGTGGGGGTGCAGGCTCCTCGGGGGCACATGCCTTCATGGGCCCTTGTGGGTCGGGGTCACTGGCAGGGATGAGCCAGGCACAGTCTCAGACAGGAGCCGCCAGGGTCACAGGCCCAGGGGAGCTGCAGGCAGACCCGGGGTTTGACACCATGAGGGTGCCGTGGGAGCCCAGGAGGTGAAACTCCACATATTACAGGCACGGCAGGGAAGACGCGGAATCTGTGGATTCGTGATCTGGTCCACAGAGAGGGTGCTCGGTCCAGGATGGCGTCCAGGTTCCTGGGTGAGCTGCGATAGGCCTTTCAGCGGAATCCGTGGGATACAGGGTGTGGGCTCCCATCTGGGAGGAGCCCGGATCACTAATCGGTGCAGGAGAATCTACCTCCAAGGAGCTGGCAGCCCATGGGGGTGAGGATGGACTCGGCCACAGCCCGGTCCTGAGAAGAGCCCCAGGACAGGCTGGCGGGAGCGAGGGGCACTGGCTGGGTGCTCCAAGCGGCTCCTGCAGAAGGAGACCCCAGCACCTCTTCTTCCAGCCTAACGCACAGTGGAAAGCAGCTGCTGAAGCTGCCCCTCAGGGCTCCCCAGGACACAGCAGGGCGACCGCACCCGCCCACTGGGGCACTTCTGGGGTTTGGCCAGGACACAGCAGGCACGGACGGACAAGGGGAGGAGGGAGTTGCCTGAGATCCAGATGTGGCAGGGCCGTGCTCCCTCCAGAGGCTCCAGGCGAGGATCCTTCCTGCCTCTTGGAGCTCCTGGTGGCTCCAGGCGTCCCTGGGCTTGTGGCTGCATCACTCCAGTCTCTGCCTCTGTCCTCACTTGGCTTTTCTTCTATGTCTGTGTCTCTTCTTCTGTCTCTTATGAAGACACTTGTCAGTGGATTTAGGGTCACCCTCCTCCAGGAGGACCTTGTCTTAATTACATCAGCAAAGGCCCCATTTCCAAATTAGCTCCATTCCCCGGTTCTGGGGGTTCGGAGGTGGATTTGTTTTTCAGGTACCCCATTGTGCCACTGTAACGGTCTGGTTTCCTGACATTGGCCAAGGGTCCTTCCTGACCCCCTTCCTGAGGAGAGCAGTCCCAGGCCCACGATGTCCACCCTGCACAGAGCATCTTTCATTTCCTGGGGAGTGGCTGTAGTTTGGGGGTGGACAGGGCAGGGGGCAGGGTTCTACTGGAGCCCTGGGGCCACTCACTGACCTCCTGTCTTTCAGGCACCATGCCGGAGCCGTCCACCCCAGGAGTGTGGGAGCGAGGGCAGTGCTCCGTGTACACGCTCTGTGCTGACCACTCGCTGGTCAGACACCTGCGTGGGCTGGGCATCCCCAGTGGGCTGGACTGGTCCTTGGACCACAGCACCTTCTGCCACGTTGACAGCCTGGACTACTTCGTGCCAGACCAGGGAGACAGAGACGGGCAGGACCCCGCAGAAGCTCCATGCTGGTGGCAGAGGGTGGGCCAAGGCTCAGTTGCTCCCCCAAGGCCTGTGCTCAGGTCTGAGTGACCCGGGCTCAGAGCTTTAGGGCTGCACCTGCGTCTGCCTGCGAGGGTCACCTGGGGTCTAAATGTAGGGAAATCTTGTCCCTCAGGCATTCTCCAGTGTCCCATCCCCCACGCCCCAGGCCCACCTTAACATCAGAAGCAGCTGTTTCATGGCGTCTGTCTCACTTCTACGTGCCCCTGGGGAAGGACTATTTTATCGTCGCAGGAAGCAGGCACTGTCCAGTCACACACAGAGAGAAGGGACGGCTGCCCATCTGTCCTGCATGGAAAAGGAGCCACGTGCTCACAGAACCTGCTTCAGGCACATGGCAGGTGTCCACCCTGTGGTCAGTTTCCCTGTAGTCAGTGTCACCTTCTCCTCGTGTCCCGGGTTCAGTGTCGCAGAAGTGACCAGGTCAGGGTCACTGAGTCATGTCAGGGCCTCACATCCGCACAGTAGTTAGTAAAGGGTGATATCTACCCTGTGGTCAGTGTGGCCTGACCTGCACCCTGTGGTCAGTGTCACGTCTTGTTCTCGTCCTGGGTCAAGAGTCTCAGAGTGACTGTCAGAGCGTCATGTGCACCCAGTGGTCAGTGAGAAGTAATGTCCACCTGTGGTCAGTAAGGAGTGATGTCCACCATGTGGTCAGTGTCCTCCTGGCCTAGGTCAAGGATCACGGGAGTGACCACTTCAGAGTCACCGAGTTGTGTCAAGGCCTCACATCCACCCAGTGGTCAGAGTGGCCCTGGGGCCAATGTCACCCTTTCCCTGTGGCTCTGGATGGGGCTTGCCCGTGGCTGACTGTCTGTGCTCAGCAACTTGGTGATCACCTCACTCAAGAGACAAGCACCANGCTGGGTGCTCCAAGCGGCTCCTGCAGAAGGAGACCCCAGCACCTCTTCTTCCAGCCTAACACACAGTGGAAAGCAGTTGCTGAAGCTGCCCCTCAGGGCTCCCCAGGACAGAGCAGGGCGACCGCGCCCGCCCACTGGGGCACTTCTGGGGTTTGGCCAGGACACAGCAGGGACGGACGGACGAGGGGTGGAGGGAGTTGCCTGCCAGGGGCGGCCCGGGCGGAGCTCAGCAGCTGAAGCCAGCGCGTGTCCTGCCTGAGCTGGAGCAGAGGAAGCAGAGCTGAGACGGAGCAGCCGAGCCGGCGAGCCCCTGAGGCCGCAGGTGACGTGTGACAGTGGACCCGCTTCTGGGTGGTCCACTTCCCGGGTGTCTGCAATACCAGGAAGGTTTTGTAAAACAAATGCCATTGAGGGAAGGTTTTGCAAAGTGAATCTTATTAGAAGGAAAGCGTTTGTAGAATAAATCCTGTTAAAAAGAGAGTTGTTGAAAACTGCGTCCAACTGAAAGAAAGAACGTGAGTGGAGTCCTGTCGCGGGGCAGGGAAGGTGTAGTTAGAGGCAGGGGCCACCTGGGAGCCAGACCCCCCAGGGGTGCAGCCCCCACCCCATGCTCCACGTCTGGGCAGGTCGTCGCTCGGCTTCTCAGAGGCTCCGTGTCCCCGTGTGCTGTGTGGAACGACGGCAGGGAGGACCAAGTTAACACGGGCGTGCTGAGAACAGGGACAGCGCGTCTGCTCGAAGAGCCCCCTGGACATCCCGCGGGTGTCGTCTTTCCAGTGACCGCGCCCGGTGTTGTCTGAGTCTCACGGTGGCCAGGCTCCAGCGGCACACGCGGGTTTCCTCACAGTGCGTGGGACACGCCATCACACACCGGGAGCATCGGGGTCTGCCCCGTCCAGCGGCCCCAGCCCTGGGGTCTGGGAAGCAGGGGGAAGGGACACCAGGCTGCACTCAGCGGCTCGCCTTCTCCTCAGGCCATGGCGTCCCCAGGATCGAGGCATCGTGTCAGGCAGCGGCCCAGGATGGGGGGTGCCCCGTGTGGGAAGAGGGGACAGGGCAGCTGCTGTTTGTGGACATCACCGCCGGGCTCGGGCTGGTGCAGGCCACTCACGGGGGAGGTGCAGACTGTGGGCCTGAGTGAGTAGAGCCTGGGGGTCCCCGCAGGGAGGGGACTCGACCCCCCCTTCCTGATCGTCAGCGTGGGGACCGTGTGTGAAGGCACGTCTGGTCCCCACACGCCTGAGGCCCTGGGTCGGGTGTGCCCTCCCATGTGGGTCACGGAGCTTCCCCTGCCTTTGTCAGAAGAGAAAGCGGCCCACGAGTAGCCGCTGCAGCTGGTCACCGTGGTGGCTGCAGGCAGCGCCGGCCACCTCGGTAACGTCCTGGAGGAACGGTGGTGGCTGTTGTGGGGACGGGATGCACAGGACGGCTGGCTCGGGACGGGTCCCCTCTCATTTGGGGAGCAGCTGACCCCCACCCGGGAAGAAGAGAAACACTTCCTCACCGGCCACGGCAGGGTGGGGGTGGCACTGGCCAGTGGAGAGGTAGCCACGGGGGCCCCACCTGTCCCTCTGTGATTCTCCAGGACACTGCGTCAGCTGCGTGGCTCTGAGCCAGATCGGGGCCTACGTGGTAGCGGCCGGCACCCACCTCGGCTTCCTGGAGTGGGAGACACAGCAGGTGCAGTGGGTGGCCTGGCTGGACAGGGACAAGCCCCACAACAGGTTCACCGACGGCAAGGTGGGCCCTGCGGGGAGGTTTGTGGCAGGAGGGCTTCTGGAAGGTCAGGTGTGGCCTCAGCCCACTGCGACGTGGGTCAGCTGGAGGCCTGTGGCCACCTGGACAGTCCCACGCTCAGGGCAGGTGCCAGGGACCAAGCAGGCAGCTTTGGGCAGCTGTCCCCCTTCATGGCAGGAGACCACTCGGACGTCCAGTGCATGCCGTGTGCTGCTGGGCGCCTCCAGACGAGACTTGTCGTTCCATTGCGTTCTGTCCAATTCCAATCCCCATCTTTTCACCCCATTATGCCTCCTGGGCTCCTGGCTATCCGCCCAGATGTGGCTTCAGCCACCCCTGGAAATGTTAATCTCATCAGCATGTGGCATGGCAAAGGTCACCTTCCCTGAGGTGTCCATGTTCGTGAGAATGCCCCGTGTGCCCTGGGTGTCCTGGGGTGGGATTCAGAGCCCCATGAGCACGGTCTGTGTCCTGAGGTGTCCACATTCGTGAGAATGCCCCATGTGCCCTGGGTGTCCTGGGGTGGGATTCAGAGCCCCATGAGCACGGTCTGTGTCCCGGGGTGGCCTGCAGTGCTCGAGACTCACAGGAGGGCCCTCATCCCGGAGGTGGAGGGGGCCGGGGAGGTCTCACACCTGGGGATGTGAGCGTGTGGGCACAGTTGAGCCGCCTGCAGACAATTTGCTGTAGAAACCCTGGCTCTTTCCGGAGAAGACTGGGAGGAAACCTGCAGGTGGAGATGCCGGGCTGGGGCTGGGGCTGGGGGCACGGCCGAGCCTGCAGAGCACCAGCGGTGCCCGAACCGGCCAGGGGTGTGGTTCTCCCACCAGGTGGAGGGTGTGGGAAGTGTGCCCTGCGCACCAGTGTGCGCCAGGTTCCCCAAGACCACCCAGGTCTGGACACTCCCAGGCAGCTCACGGAGTCAGCATATTGTGGTGTGCTCGTGGCTAACATGGGTCTCAGGGCTCCTGAGTGCCGGGTTCCCCAAGACCACCCAGGTCTGGACACTCCCAGGCAGCTCACGGAGTCAGCATATTGGGGTGTGCTTGTGGCTAACATGGGTCTCAGGGCTCCTGAGGACACGCAGCCGGGTCTTGGGGAGGACAGCAGGGTCAGGAGGAGCCACACGCCACTGCCCTGTGCTCCCTGCCTCCCGCGAGGTCTGCAGAACACCCTCTTCCCAGCAATGAAGAGGCAGCCACACGCGTGTGATGCTTCCTCCTGGGGAGCCCGTCAGTGACTTGGTGCCCAGGGTGTGTGTCGGGGGCTGGTCACATGGGCACCATCCGCCCTGTATCTCCCAAACTTCAGGTGCCCAGAGGAAAGCCCGGGTGCAGCATAAACCCATGTTTGGCACGGTGTGGGCGCAGGGCCTCTTACTGGTGAGGGAGACTTCATAACAGTGTAGGAAGAGGCTCGGCAGCTGTAGGAGTGTCCCGGGCTGCCGTGACAAGTGCTTATACACTGGGAGACTTAAAACAACAGGAATGCATCCCCTGCCAGGTGTGGAGGCAGAAGTGTGAGATCCGGATGTGGCAGGGCCGTGCTCCCTCCAGAGGCTCCAGGCGAGGATCCTTCCTGCCTCTTGGAGCTCCTGGTGGCTCCAGGTGTCCTTGGGCTTGTGGCCGCATCACTCCAGTCTCTGCCTCCGTCCTCACTTGGCTTTTCTTCTGTGTCTGTGTCTCTTCTTCTGTCTCTTATGAGGACACTTGTCAGTGGATTTAGGGTCACCCTCCTCCAGGAGGACCTTGTCTTAATTACATCAGCAAAGGCCCCATTTCCAAATTAGCTCCATTCCCCGGTTCTGGGGGTTCGGAGGTGGATTTGTTTTTCAGGTACCCCATTGTGCCACTGTAACGGTCTGGTTTCCTGACATTGGCCAAGGGTCCTTCCTGACCCCCTTCCTGAGGAGAGCAGTCCCAGGCGCACGATGTCCACCCTGCACAGAGCATCTTTCATTTCCTGGGGAGTGGCTGTAGTTTGGGGGTGGACAGGGCAGGGGTCAGGGTTCTACTGGAGCCCTGGGGCCACTCACTGACCTCCTGTCTTTCAGGCACCATGCCGGAGCCGTCCGCCCCAGGAGTGTGGGAGCGAGGGCAGTGCTCCGTGTACACGCTCTGTGCTGACCACTCGCT